GATCACTGTGATCTTCGGCGGTATCACGGCCTCCTTGATCAGCTATTGGGTCTATCAGGCTGCCGGCCGGCAGTCGAGGGAGAAGGAAGCGATCAAGGCAAAGATGTGGTTCATGATGATTGTGTTGGCAACGGCCGAGATATACGGAGGCTTCATGACCTTCCTGCCGGAGATGTTGACTGGCAATACAGCACTGGCTACCGATAGCTTCCTGTATTTCGTGCTGTATATTGTTATCTTCAACGGCCTTTGGGTCGTTGTCCCTGGTTGGATACTGTGGGAAGCATGGAAGGAGTTTACCGGCTCTTCCACCGTCATTAAGAGGCAGCGGGACAACAGCTCCCCCAGAAATAAGCTTGGAAGGTGACTAGATGAACAGAATGTTCGAACGGACGATATGTCCACACGGAGGCAGCCCCATTACATGTGAGAACATACTCTCGGGGCTGCGTGGAGGATTATGATACTCTGTTTTTTACCTGACATGACTTAACGGGGATGCATAAGCGCTTAATCTTTTTCTGGCATACTTTTTGACTATATACTTTGGTTATGGTTGTTTGATACTTAATAGCTTCCGATTAATGTTCATTGCATATATCATTACATCAACCGTGCCATATCTGATCTGATCTCATCTCATCCCATCTTATCTTGGTGACACAACCGCCTGGTAACCCCACAACAGTGACTCAAAACCAGCTCAGCGCAGACCACGCAACCATCCATAATTAAAGAAAGCCCAGTATTGACCGAGATGTCAAACAATCGCGAAAATCCACTTTTGAGGGCCAACCAATAGCTGTATGCGCCGGAGACGCGTCGACGTGAATTGCCGAGTTAATCTAATCTATGACTCACTCAGAATCATTACAAGTGAATGACAGCATCCAGCTGGTTGGACTAGGTACTTACCGTGTTACATGGCCATTTCCCTGCAGTCTCACAAGCATGCATATGACTCACACGGAGAGAAGAAGTACTAATGTAATACAAGGGAATACCCATCTACCCAAACTACAAACTAAACAGATTCCAAATCGGCCCCATAGCCAACAAATCCTCCATACTAACATCAGGCACCACTCCATCCACAACAGCGCCAGGCCCACTTGTAGAAGACGCCGCCGCCATCTGAATCTGCTCCTGATTCCACCTCCACTTATCCATAGTAGTGCAGCGCGCCTGATGCGCCTCCTTCCACATGATCGTCCTAGCTTTAATATGTGTGAAGATAGGCGGAACATAGAGATTTTCAGCAGTCGCCTGCGCAACAGTTTCATCGACTTTCAGAGAGAAAGTGTCGACGGTGTCTTCGAAGCTTATTGTCTGCCGGGCCCACTCGCGGTCCCAGCAGCCCGTCGGGTCATTGTGGACGAGGAGCCGAGACAGTATGGCGAGGCCGTGACCGACTTGCGTCCAGCAGGTGTATGGGAGTTGGAGGTAAAGAATGGGTGGGATGGAGAGGAGGGTGTCGAATAGGGATCGTGCGGCGTTGAGACAAGCGCAGAGGATGTCGATTTGGGTTATAGGGTAGTTGCTGAAGGTTGTGTCTTCGAAGTCCCGTTCCAGGGCTATGCGGTATAGGAGCATCTCGAGGGTGTGGTAGTGCATGTTGAGGATTACTGGGGTGTTTGTTAGGTCTGAGGGGTTGAGTTAGGTTGGTGGAGGGACGTACGAGATTGAGTGTATTCGCCAGAATATGAATCTTTGAGTTGTTGGATTTCCTTTTGTAACCAGCGTATTGCCATGGCTTTGGGTGCTAGGCCGGTAGGGGTGTCCTTTTCGTGGTACTGGACAGCGCGATAGATTTTCTCGCCCATGTGGGCTATGCGAACTAGCTGCAGGAGGTACGGGTCGGTTTCACATTCGGCTGCTTCTTGTATTCTGCGGCAGCAGTCGTCGGTGTATGTTGTGTATTCCATGGGTTCCTTTTCTCCCAGGCATAGTGATAACCTGTTACTGTTAGCGTTGAATGAGGCTGTATTGATGCTGTGGCTCACATATTGACCATGTAGTAGCATCCGAGGTAAGCTCTTATCTCCTCTAAGGTGCGGGAATTGCGCATGCGTTCATCATATTTGAAGATCCGGAGGTAGGAGAATACTGTGCCCGGAGTACACAACTTATTTTCCCGATGAAAGTCGAGGTTGATCACCTGCGCCTCCAGAATATGAAGGTAGTTAGTGATTATCGTCGCACGGGGCGCAGGAACTATGGTCTGTGTCCTGATCAAGTGTGAGAGGTTTGTATATCATATGCTGCATGTAGGTGCTCTCACCAGCCAAGGTACGCGAGGAATCCTTGAAGCAGATCCAAGCTATGCTCCCCGTTAGCTAGCATATGCTCCATCCAGTAATCCCTAGCTTTGATTGAATGAGCCACCTGTGCAGAGCCATCTTGGCAGACAACCGCCGGAATAACCAAGTTCAGGAATGGCTTTATAGTGCGTAAGTCGTCCAGACCTATACGAGGCGAGCGTACCACAAAGGGAAAAAAGTTTGTGATACGCTCATTGAACTCTGCAAGCATTTTTTCCACACCCTCATCCAGTACAGGAGGAATGACCAGAGAATGGTCTGTGGCAGGAAATGGACTAGCATTGCTGCCACCGATGCTTTCTATGTACCGTTGCGAGGCTGTGAGCAGTGAAGTCACATTATCGAGCTTCTTTTCTAGTCGACCGACGTCACTACTATATGAACTAGTCAGTAGCCATTAGTAGTATTTCGTGCGCACTCGCAAACACATACGACGCATTGTGCCGCTTTCCCGTGTGCGGCTTTGAAGCCTGCCTGGTACATTCTTTCCCCAGGCGATGACATCTGGCTCCGTCGTTAGTGCTTATCCTTGGGTCGGGTGATCTCGTCCGTTTCTACCTTTGGCAAGCATCGGTCGGACCGGGGTCGCAGCGGACCTTGGCTTTGGAACACGGTCTACAGGCCTTAAGATGTCGAGTGTCAGGAGTGGACATGTCGGTCGGGAACGGGACACGATGGAGGCGTGGTTGTGAGTTGAAAATGTGTAGGGAAGTGAGATGATGGTGGTGCCGGTCGGCATAAGCGGCATCCCGCGTCCGTGTCGGCATTCTTTAGCACCGATTTGTATAGATGTCAGATACAATAAACTTTACCCGCAATGTTTCAGGATATAAATGGAGGTTGGACGCCCTTTTCTTTTTCGATGACCAAGAAAATCATATCTAACATTCTTGAAGACTTCATTCACCAATACAATGACCGTGACAGACGACTGCACCCAACGCTACCCAGAAACCGGCATATCAGTCCTGATAGTCGGGGCCGGGGTCGCAGGACTAATGGCTGCTCTCGAATGCTGGCGCAATGGACACGACGTTCGAATCGTCGAGCGATCTCCTGAAGAAGTCACTACAGGCGAGCAAGCCATCGTCCCGAACGACATGATTAAACACATCGCAGCTAACAAGCCTACCAGGTGACTCGTTCACAGTCGGCCCCAGTGCAACCCGTGCGTTCAAACGTTGGCCCAAACTAGCCGAAGAGAACGAAAAGATTACTTTTATACCTCATCTTGCCTTCTACACTTTGAGTGGTGATCGTGTGACCGAGCCGAATCATGTTGAATACAGGCAGGACAAGGGTTCCAAAAAAGTGCCAGGGCAACTCACCCGCCATTGGAGACCCCAACTTCACGGCATGCTTCTCAAGCAGCTCCATGCCATCGGTATTAGCGTCGAGTACGGCTGCAGAGCGGTGGAATATTTTGAGATAAGTCATACTGGGCGTGCAGGTATAATTCTGGCGAATGGCGAACAGCTAGAAGCAGACGTCGTCATTGCTGCCGATGGGTTGAGAAGCCATTCGACCAAAGTGACACTGGGGCAGGAGATTCGGGCACGACCAACCGGACAAGCTCTTTATCGGACAGCCTTTCCGGTCGAGATAGCCATGAATGATCCGATGGTTCGAGAGCGATTTCCGGTAGTAGGTGAAAAAGAAGGACCGATTGAATTCTGGGCTGGGTATGACTATACCTCCAAAAGATATCTGCTTCTAGTACGAACAAACTGTACTAATCCGGCCAAAGCGAGCACTACCATTTCATCGTCATCAGGACATCTGATACAATGTCCTGGACTTTATCGCACAAAGTGAGTCAACCAGAGATTTTGCCCTAACAACAAACCAATATAGTATTCCTGCCTTTATCAGATCTAACGTCGCAAATACTGACCTTAGGACTACGAAAGCGCCACCGAATCCTGGTCTCACCAATCCGACCCTGAAGACGTCCTCAAAATAACTTCAACTATCCCAGACTGGCCAGAAGTAGCAGATCGGCTAATCCGTCTCACGCCCAAAGACCGACTCCTCCATTTCCGCGTCATGTGGAGAGATCCCCAGCCCACCTGGGTCTCGCCGGCAGGCCGTATCGTACAGATCGGGGACGCCGCACACACATACATCCCAGCGTCAGGCAACGGCGCAACGCAGGGAATCGAAGATGCTGTCTCTCTAGCTACATGCTTACGGATGGCGGGAGGAACTGAGCAGGTTCCGTGGGCGTTGAGGATCCACAATCGGCTACGGTACGTCTACGGTCATCTCCTCATGAAAAGAATAGTAATTATATAATATTCACTAACAATGAATCTAATCCACATACAGCTTCATCCGAGTCTCCTGCCTCCAAAAGCTAGGCCTCATTAATCTCAAAAGCTACTCCGAAAAGCCCCAGAAAATTAACTTCACACCAAAGGGGCTCCAGTATCTGACAGCGGAGTGGATCTGGGGCCATGAGCCGGAGAAATACGCCGAGGAGAACTACAGCAAGGTACTGGGTCATTTACAGCGGGGCACACCCTTCCAGGATACGAATATACCCCGCGGTCATGTGTATCGGGACTGGACGATTGATGAGATGTTGGAGATACAGGAGAGAGGGGAGGAGATTGAGTTGGATGGGGAGTGGGAGTGAATCAGTCTACTTTCTATAGTTTTGTGTTTGTATGTAGTATGTGCTACTTATCTTGCTAAATAAGTCCTAACTGGTATTTTGAAAATCCGTATAAGAACCATGCTAACGACGAACATAGAACAAATGCAATTGGGAATCATATACAACTCTCAACCAAAACACTAACATATATACAGATAAATAGCAAAAGATATCACTTCCTAGCAAGCCAACACCATCAATCATTTACCACCGGCGGTACTACCAACATCATTAGCACAAGAACAAGAACAAATCGGCGAGTGCCATATCTAACATACCTCAGGAGGTCCCGGAGGGGGAGGACCAGGAGGACCAGGACGGTCCCAAGGCCCGGGGGGCCAGGAGGAGGGGGGCCGCCATGAGGACCACCAGGGCGATCCCAGGGATCCCTAGGACCTGGCGGAGGAGGAGGTCCTGGGGGGCCACCAGGGCGATCCCAAGGGTCTCTGGGTCCTGGCGGAGGAGGAGGTCCTGGGGGGCCACCAGGGCGATCCCAAGGGTCTCTGGGCCTGGGGGAGGAGGAGGGCCGGGAGGACCACCGGGACGACCCCAGGGGTCTCTTTGATCAGGAGGACCATGAGGGCCAGGAGGGCCGGGAGGAGGAGGACGAGCCCAGGGGTCTCTGGGATCATGGGGAGGAGGGCCGGGAGGGCCAGGTGGTGGTGGTGGGCCACCAGGACGGTCCCAGGGCCCGGGGGGTGGAGGGGCCCCTGGGGACCGGGAGGAGGAGGAGGAGGGGGTTATTGTGGTGATGGTGTGAGAAAAGTCCCATTGTGAACAGGTTGTGAGGATGGATGTGAATGCTGTCTAAGGATGGAGAAGGTTGTTAAGGTCTTAAATAACCACCTTGCTTGAGGCTTGGGCGGCGGAGTGGGGAGAGGGGCCACACTAGGCAACGCCTTTCTTTAAGCAGATGTGGGACGGTGAATTCTCCGTGGTAATTATAGCATGGATGATATCGTTGAGTGTGTATGGGGCTCTTATGTGGC